AACTACTGCACTTGCATATTTGAATTTAACCCTACCAACAGTCATATACTCAAAAGTCCTGTTCTTTGTAACAACAGAGCCACCCCTAAAGAGTTTTTTTCCAAAAACATAAAACCATGACTAATTTTAGCAGGCCTTTGGGCCACTGTAAATTAGTTCCTACAGCCTGCTGATTGAATTAAAGTATTTTAAATTGAGTTCCTCACCATACTTCAAAAGTTATCATGCAGAGAGATTTTGTTGAATCAAATCTGCTTTCAAATTTTATAGTTTGAGGAAATTCCATACATGGAATGGGAAAAGAAAAAAAAAAGTGAAGTGCATTTATAGAGATTCAAACCAGTTGCGAGAACTAGAATGCCACTATTTTCTTTCATTGGATTTCACCAGCAAAAGGATGGGAAAAGATCCTGCCCAGCCCCCAGCCATCCAGAACCTTTCAGCAGACTGGACTGGACAGTTCAGGTGATGTTTGCTCCTCAGAATCCCACCTGGAGCAGTGGGCATTACTCCATGGGCTGACACCTGCCCACCACTGGCCAAGTTCTGCACAGTAAATGCCTGAGCAGGACCCCAAAGCCTTGGTCAGGTGGGATGCTTTGCATTTAAAATAATAATAATGAATTGCAGCTCTATCAGGCATGATCTAGGAGTCACAACTCCAGCCCTGGACCTATAAATGGTGTCACTAACAAATCTGTATTGGTAAAATACTGAAATCCTGCAAATGTGGGCACAACATCCACCCACATAGACATCAGGGACACCATGAAGGATTTTCTCCCAAAGCACAAAAAGGCCTATTGCCTGCTGCCATAGAAGGGAAAACCCAACAGCCTAAGCCTCATAAACTGACAGGCCAGCAAGAGCCAAATAAAATTCAGGAAGTTTATCCAAAATCAAATCTACTGAGCAATGTCTTGGAAATATTTTGATTCTTCAGTGCTAAAGAAATATGCCATGAATCCAAAGCCCATGAATTGGGAAGGGGAAGCTGTCCCCAGACCATCATCCTGGCTCATTTTCTTCAGTCTACAGCCACATGATTTCTTTTCCACACTGCTGCTGGCTCACACCAAGGTTCACACAAACACCCAGGCTGGCAATGGGACCTGACAGAGGTATTCTGCCTTCAGCAAGGAAGGGTTTCCCTACCTCAGCCATCAGCCACTACCGTTTTTGGGATCTGAGCAGTTGTTACTCTCCTTCTCACTTGCTCCCCCAGAGCAATCAAGCCCAAGAGAAACCCCTCTACTAAGCAAGATCAGACTGGCAGAAGGAGACAGCAAAGTGCTTTTGGAAAGTCATGCAGGTGCCACCAATTTACCTTTGACAGGCTTGTCACTCGGACTGTGGCAAGGAGCCAAAGCTTCAGAGGTGAGCCCCCGCTGCGGTCCAGCACCAGCCATCCTGCAGCCTCTTCCAGGCTCTCCTCCCCTCTTCCCCTCCCCTCTGGGACCTGGCACTTTTGGGTCCTCAGGAAGGGAAGTGATGAAATCAGCAGGAGCTGGAAGGATTTTCTCAAGTAGGCCAGCAGTGGGAAGGAGAAGCACATTCCCCTCCCCGTCTGGTTTGCCTCTGAGTGCTGAAGAGCTGGCCTGGAACAGGAGCTGGCATGGAGCACAGCCCGAGCTCGGCGTTTGCCATCTGCAGATGGAGCCAAGAGCGGAGGGAAAAGTGCCTGCAAGCTGGGCACACGCTCACTGCTCCACTCCTGTGGGGCTCAGCCCTCTCCTCGGGTGCAAGGCTCTGACACAAGCGTGTCCAGCATTCTGTGAAAGGTCTGTACTAAATGGCAGAGCGGATCCCAGGCACGATCCCACTCCAACCTGTCCCTGATTACACGTATCTGTAACCCAGACATCACAGGCTCGCTCTGCTCTGTGCCCTCCTGCAACTTAAAATACAGCCCTGGCTCGAAGGTCTCTATTTGCAAACATAGAGGAACAGTGGCTCTTAAATTGCAGGCAAACATTTGACTTCACTCAGGGCAATTCAAAGAATATCCTGCACGAACCCCACCCTTCTGCCTGACAACTCAAACCTTAATGCCTAGATAGTTTTCTTTCAGGCCTTATCACAGAGAAAATATGGGCTTTCTTTTTTTTTTTTTCTTTTTCTTTTTTTTTTTTTTTCTGAAGGAGTAAAACCTGCCAAATATTTACCAACTCTTTCAGAAGGCTGAAAATGTCACCCCTACAGTGTAATAAACTTCCCCGGAAAGGCCCTGATAAATAGAAAGCCTTGCTGTACTGCCCAGAACTAGTTTAGTGTGGCCTAAGTATTGCCAAGTCTGACTGACAAAGGAAGCATATTTGTACACACAGAAAGATTAGCAAGAGAGGCATAAAGTTTATAAGTGAAAATAAAACAAAGCCCCATTATTAACCGGGGAGGGGGGAATAATTGAATCTGCATCCCAGAGAGCACAGAACATTATGAAAGCCTCAGAGCTAAAACAATAATTTAAGAGCTTGTCCACAACTTGCAGCAGAAGCTTGAACCATCTTCTCTAGCATTTGGAAAGTGCTAAACCATGGTCTACCCCCAACCCAGCCTTCAGAGCAATATTATTTAAAAATAAAATATTTTTACTTGGTAATTTGACCCACAAAAAGTCACTTGGGGCATGAGGGAATGTTCCCTTCCAGCCTGAACATTAATTCAGAGAGAATGTTTAAACTCCACAGTGTAAACCAGATGCTGGGAAGTACATCTGCATTGTACTGTATGTTCTTTGGGGCACAGACAGAAGTTGGAAAGTGCCTGTCAATGCAGTGTGTGTGGCTATGATCTAAATAATCCTAATAATGTAGATGAATGGAGAGAAAGCCACATTCCTAGTACCAGCCAGTCTGTCAACAGAGTTCTTGCAGCTATAGACAACTATATCCACACTAGTGCAAACAGATGAATATTGCTTAAAAAATGTGTCCTTTCACCTTGGCAAATGCCATTAAGAAAAAAAACTCTAAAAGTGACTAGGGAGTTGGAAGCTCCAAGGTACACATTTAACAAGCCTTGGTGACTGTAAAATGCTGAGCACTCACTTTCTACAGAAGCCAGGCTTCCACTGAATCTTGACTGGTACACTTAAATGAAAAGGTAGTAACTGAAATTATGCTGTATAGTGCTCCAAAATAGGTTTCAGAAGGACAAAACTTGCCAGAACTACTTAAAGGCAGGAAAAAACTAATTGTTGCTGGGAAAAAAAGAATCCAGATTATGTTAAACCTGACAAAAGCTAAACTCGGCTGTTTACCCAGCTTAACAAAGAACAGCACAGTTAAGAAACTCTGGTGTGAAAGGGAAAACTTCACTTTAGCCCACCAGCGTGTCCAGGAGCCCAACCAGCAACACAAGCAACCTCCAGAAAAGTCGCTGCTTGCCAGAGATGCCTAACAAGTTGCACAAGTTGGAAGGAGTGGGCTGAGGAGGCACAGGAATTTGCTCCTCGTCCCCCTTTCACACCATCAGGTTTTAATGTTAATGACACGGCCCCGCGTGCCTGAAGTATTTTTACACTATGCTCGTCTTCTTGTAGCGCCGACTTGTTCCAGGGCGGATGATTAGAATCAGATTTCTGTGATTTCACTGCAGATTCATTTGGTTAAGGGCTACAGATCTGCAGGGGGAAGATGGCTGCAAACGGGCCAGCAGAGTGGGCTCCGAGGGGTTCTCTCCTAAACGGGTAACAGTATCTTTGCATTCACTCCTTATGTTCAGGTAGTTTTCCTTTTTGTGGCCACTAGACTGGGTTCTTTGGAAAAACAGGCATATAGGGAAAAGAAATGTGCAAAAAGTTTTCCTTGAAATTTTGGTTTCAAAGAAAGCTCCCAACCAGAATAGGTGCATGAAGAGAACAGGCCCAAGTAAAACCTGACTGCATCCACTGTCCCCCAAATCAAAAGCACCTGAGGGACCAGACATAGGAGATAATTCTGATCTGTCAAGGTCTGTATGTCCTGACATGTGTCAGAGCAATAGCTATTAATACACATTAGTGTGCTGCACGCAAGTGTTTGGATATAAACACTTGTGTGAGAAAAAAAATATGCAGAGGTCTGTAACAGCATTTGTAAATTTCTCCTAACTGCAAAAGAAGTAGCACTTATTTGTAATGGGCAATGGCTACAAAAAATTGTGCTGAAAACCGAGTTTGTTCGTAAAAATTTCATGGGAACAGAGCATAAAAGTTGTGTGAGTCTGTGTACACACGTACAGAATGTAGACTCCTAAAATGCTACTTCAGAGAGAAAATGAAATTCTAAGAGGCTCAAAAAACACACAGGAAGATTTTAATCTTCCAGTTGCTTTTACAGACCTTAGCCATGAGAATACTGTTGCCACTTGGCCTTTTTCTTTACTGGAGGTCAATATCATTGACTTTTTACTAGAGAGAAGTAAAAACATCTCTACATAAATCAAAAAATTATGAGGACCCTCAAAATAGTTCTAAGAACTTAAAATGCAATGTAACATAACACAGAAGGGCACAGAAGTTATAAATATGACGCTATACAAGCCAAGAGTAATATACACACCCGGAGTTGTATATACACCCGTGCCCAAAGAAGGAGCACAAACCAATGTCTGCAGACGTGCAGTATGCCGAATCGGAATCCGACAAATAACAAGGAACTCCGGAATGCTGGGTGGTAAAAACGCTTAGGTGAGTAAGAGAATTTCCGGTAGCCCGCCTGCTCCGTATGGATGTGACTAGATTTACTTAAAGAAAAAAAAAAAAAAAAAAAAAAAAAAAAAAGAAAAAAAAAAAGGAAAAAGAAAAAAAAAATAAAACAGATGTGTTTTTAGAAAGTGAAAGCGGAGGGAAGGATGCACATGGTCCTGCGGGAGCGAAGCCGAGCGCTCTCTCCGCCAAGGCAGGGCCGGGCACAGCCGGTCCGGACCGCCGCGAAGCCGCGGGGATGGCGCCAGCACCGGTAGGACGCGCACGTTTAAGGCCTTTTCCGAGGCAGAAGAATACAAAATGCACTTACGGTTCGCGGAGAACCAGCTCCGTCCTCTCCCCGCGGCGAGCCCGGCACCCGCCGGCCCCAGCGCCGGGCCAGCCGCGGTCCCCGAGGGCCGCCCGAGCACCGCCCGCCGTGCCCGGAGCCGACCCGCCCGGGCCGGGCCCCGCGTCCCGCCCGAGCGGCCCCGGGCAGCGCCAGCGGCGCCGCCGCGCTCCGTCTTCGCCCGCTGCGCGCCCGGCAGGTCCCGGGAGCCGAGAACTGGGACTTTGTAGGCCAGTTGAAGACACGAACCTCTCATCTCGCCCGCAAAGACCCAGCCCTCAGCTCGCCCATCAGGCGCAGGCGACCACTACTCACCGCTATCTTTAACGAAACCCCGGCCAGCGCAGAGCCCCCGCCCCGGGGCCATCGGGGACCCCGCCGGAGCGGGATCATTCCCCCGGCCGAGGGAGGCGGCGATCCGCGCCGCCCCCTCCCCGAACTTGAGAGCTGTCTCGGTCCCGGCTCCCGGAGCCGGTCCCGCACCTCGGGCCGGGCCCCGACGCCCATCGTGACTCGGCACCGCTGATCCCGCTCCCGCTCCTGCGGGAACTTCGTGCGCGGAGAGGCGGGAGCGAAAACACCAAACGGACAGAAAATCCCGAGCCCCTCCGTTACCTGCTCTGAGTGGGGAGGGGGCACGGGAAAGGGGCTCGTGGGCCCCCGCCGCCGCCTGCCCGCCCAGAGCCGCAGGTCCTCGGGAATCCGCACGGGAAGGGCTCGGGCTGAGCTACAGCCGAGCGGGGAGCAGCGGCTGCGGGCGGGCGGCTGCGCTCCCCTCTCCTGCCTCCCGCAGCCGAGGGACTCGCAGATGGGTATTTAAACCGGTATTGATCACGGTGGGTTTTTTCCTACCCTTCCTCTTTGCCCTTGCAAAAGGCAAAAAATAAAAATAAATAAATAAAATGCGTTGCCACAAGGGACGTTGCAACATTTCTCTCGGCTTTTCAAACGCGGCGTTTGCCCCAGCGAGATTGAAGTGTCCCAACACACGAGCACCAGAGAAGTAGGGGAAAGAGGGGAAAAATACCAAAACCACCCAAAAGCAGAAAGAAAAAAAAAAAAAAAAAAAAAAAAAAAAAAAGCCAAAATCCAACACCCAAAGCCATCAAACCGGAGAGAGACGAGCTTGCTCCGTGCAGCGTTGCGGTCCCGGGCGGCGGGGCTCCCGTCCGGCGCAGACACGCGTCCCTCAAAAGTTGGCTCCACGTGTTGCGGCCGCGTCCCGGGAGGGTCGGCGCGGCCCGGCGCACCGGGGCGGTGCGGGCTCGCTCCGCCGGACCCGCGCCGTTTAAGGAAGCGGCCAGTCCCCACCCCTGCGCCGGGCAGCTCCCGCCGCAGCCCGGCCCGGCGGCTTCGGCAGCTCTCCCGGGCTGCCCTCCCCACCCGCTGCCCTCCGCGACGCCGCGCCGCACGGCCGGCCCCGCCCGCGCACTGAGGGGGCGGCGCGCCCCCTGCCGGCCGCTCCCGGCGCTGCGCGGAGCGGGGCGAGGGTCGAGCCGGGCCCGGGGGGGACAGACCCCGGGACAGACCCCGCGGACAGACCTTGTGGACAAACCCCGCGGACAGACCTTGTGGATAAACCCTGCGGACAGACCTTGTGGACAAACCCCGCGGACAGACCTCACGAACAGACCTTGTGGACAAACCCTGCGGACAAACCCTGCGGGCACCCCGGCATCTCCCGGCGGTGACACCCGCTCCGCACCCCGCACGCACCGAGGCTGCTCGCAGCCAGCATCTCCCCACACTGCTGCCTGTATGTGTCCCCGTACTGCTCTATGGGTATCTCCCCACACGTCTCCCCGTACATCTCCCTGCACTGTTCCCTGCAATGCTCCCTATATGTCCAGCCTTCCCCTGCACACCTTGAAGTGGGCATGGACACCTTGTGTGTATCCCAGGTATGTCAGAGGACATACTCTGTCCTTCCATACGTGCCAAGTCTCTTCATTTACATCTCCAGTAAAGCTGGGTGAGCATATCTCTATGACTGAGAAAATCTGGGCACAAAGCACAGCTGTACCGTGTATAAATAAATTGTGTAGTTTCTTTACACTACACTTAGTTGTAAATGTTTTTTAAGAAAATGCCACAAGGACCTGAAAAGGTTTTGGATTCTTTTGGGTGACTTTTGTGCTCACGCATTATGTAATGGTGTGCTCATGTGTGACATAATTGTGCACTTACACGTGACGTAGTTATGTGCTCATGCATGAGGTAATTGTGTGTTCATGCATTAAATAATTGTATGCTCATGCATGAGGTAATCAAAGCTAACAGCCAGAGGCCTCATCCTTTAAATCTTTGGTTTCAGCACCCAATGTGCCTCTCTGTCATCTACACCACATTTTTTTCCTGTGTCTATACTGAGGACAAGGCAGCCCTGTGTATGCATCATTATGGATGTGGCAAGTGACACTACCTGGCCTGCATGGATAGAATGCCAGAGAGAGAACTTGAACTGATCTGCCACGGAACTGCTCTCGATCAACACTGTGAAGCCATCCTCTACACAGAAGAACGTGTTCCTTGGCTAGAGGCCTGATGAATATGTAGAGCCAAGGAACATGTTGTATAAAACAGATAGTAGAATGCAAAGTGAATCATGGACCATGGGCAAAAAGGTTGGAAGAGGGACAGAGCTCTGTGAGCCTTTTGAAAATAAGACATTCTGGCAGAAGGTAGAAAAATAAAGAATTTCTTGACCATCTGGAAGGGTTCTGCAGAGATGATGCCTAGAGAGTACAGCAGAAATTAAGACTTCCCAAAAAGGTGTAAAAGACACTCAACTTTTCTCTGGTGAAGGGAATAGCTGCTGTAGAAATCACTTGGGTTGAACAAGAAAAGGCCTCATCACCTTTCAGGAAATAAGAGACTGCTACTCTTACAGGATGCAAGTTACATCTGCCAACTTCACTCTCATTTTTTAGGGTTTTTTTAATACTATTTTTCCCCCAGTCTCAATCATGTAGCTGCTTGAAACACCACAGAATAATTCTGAGAACAACAAATTCACAGCAAAAAAAAGTACCTGTGTGTATGGAAGGTAGAGCACGAGCCAGGGAATGGAGTTCCTCCCTAAGTGAGCTGATGGCACATTGCTTCTCTGATGTCCTGACCAACTGCTTAATTTGCTATTTTCAGTAGCCTCAAAACATGTTGCCTCTTGTCTCGACCAGGCCCCCACTAGTGCTGATGTGAAGCGCCACTTAATTTTCATGAGAGCAGAGCAAGACTTTCACACAACATTTTTGCCCAGCAGGAGCTCTTTTGCAGGGAGCCTGATCCCATGGGATGTGCTCAGCTGCTGGCAGCCCATTCCCACTTCCACTGATGCCCCTGGCAGCCCTGTGGTAGTAACAGCATAAGGCATATTTCAGGCAAGTCTTCACTTGGCAGGAGGTACTTCTGTACCTGAGAAGGTCAGGTCTTGGGACTTCATCTCCTCTCACAAATACCTGCTGGCTGCCCTTCATGGTGTGCAGAATCCATGCACAGGGAATGCATGAGTACACCCCCTGTCTGGATGGGAGCTGGGAAGAGGATTAGGTCCACATAGAATTCAGATGTCATCACAAGCATATCAAATTGTAAAGCATCACAACTTACACAATTCTGAAAATAAACATAACCAGTTTCTTTCAAGCTGTTTGGCAGGCAAAAGGTTAATATATTAATAACGTTTGACTAGCAATAGCCCAGAACAATAACTATGGAACAACAGGTTCTGTCACTTCTGAAAATAGCCCTCTTTGGGAAAAAGAAAACATTTTCACAAGAGCCACAAACCAGATGATGTAGCTTCTTTAGAGGTGTTCACGAAGTGGAAGCCAGGTGTGAAATCTCCAAAGTCAGGAGGGATCTTGTGTGGGTGGGAGAGCGCCCTGCCTGCTGCTGAGTGGGACATGGACCCTGTGGACGGTGCTTGGTCCAGCTGAATGAATACATCTGAGTCTGTCTTTCTCAATCCTGCCTGTGCTTATGCAGTACCTTTCTCTGCCAGTAGATCCACTGATTTGTTAACTCTTGTGTGCAGTACTGAGCAGCACGTGAGCAAGAACGGCTTGTAGCCAACAGTTTGGTATTTCGGCATCTGACCTTGTTGAGAAAGAGACTGGATTGTCAAAGATGTTAAACTTGAACACAGTGTAACGATAGAAACAGTTTAAATCCACTGATGGCACAGGATGAAATTCTGGTTTTCACCCGCGAATATGAATCCATGCCAGAGACAAGGGTCAGATCTCTCTATCTTTTTTTTTTTCTTTTTTTTTTTTTTTAGCCAGAACAGTAGGAATAACAAGCTGTGTGATTAAAAGTTCAGAAATGTGCAAACACGATGTACTGCAAGGAGCTGGCCTGACCCCATGTACCTGTGCAGGAACAGCAAGCAGCCAGGTTCATTAAGGATGCACAGGAAACTGCAGTCCCTCCTCTGAGATCCTTACTGGAACCTGGTGGCTCACCTCAGAGCACCCAGGAACACCAGTGAGCTGCAGCCTCCAGTCACTCCAGTCACAGACATGCTTTGGTTCTCTGCTCAGTGGCCAAGGCTCTGCCTGTCCAAAGAACCTCTGGCAAGTCATCCATACAAGAGGAATGCCCTACCAAAAATTGGGCCTTCACATTTAAAGCATGTGTGCATATATTGGAGAAAGGAGAAAATCACAGAACTAAGGAGCTCTGATTAAGCTCAGAAATAATGGTTTCCTGTTCAAACACAGAGCTCTGTCTCTTCTTAGGACAACTACCTCATCCCCAATTGTGTCTATTAAAGACAATTACTGGGGGAGACAGATATGTGTAACCAGATGTGGAAATAACGGTCAGCGCCATATGCAGTTTAAATTCTTTGGGCCTGAACAAGTTACATAAAAAAAATTGGGTGTGTGTGTTTGTGCACTGTGGAGCAGCTGTCAATGGGGAAATCCCCTTAGCCCACTTTAATCCTACGTTCCACAATCCCCAGGGATTAAACAAATGCACTAACATTATTTACTGTAATGCTCCCTCCCTGGGGGGCTTCAGTCCATGAAATCCACTCCAGCATTTGCAAGTTCCAGTTGTGAAATAGGCTGTGCACATTCTATATTTGGTAGCTCACAAGTACTCCTTCAGTTGGGCCCAGAGTGATGAAAGGACAGGAGTCAGGAATTCAGCCCAAGCAAGTCTCAAAGGGACCAGGCTCAGTCTTGGAGCTCATTTCTCCCTGTGCAGGTCTTGTACAGGCACTGAGGCACTGCAGTGACTGCTGAGAGGGGACAGTGATCACAGGACTCTACAATATGCTTCCCTAAAATTAAAGATGCTGCCACAGTATGAGTCCTCCTATCTATACTCTGGACATATGAAATGAGGCTTTAAACCCTGATACAGCAGTAGAGCTTCACATACCTCCTGCTTTCCTTTTCCTATGATGAAATCTGTGCTCAAATTTGGGTACAATCCCAGTGAAATTAGGAACAGGGATTCCCCCAATCCAGATGCATAATCCTCACAATCCCAATAAGGCTGTGACAGTGCAAACTGCACGCCATTGAACTCTTGCAACCATCTGGGTTCAATTGATGGCCACAATGCCCAGCAATAACACAGACAAGATTCAGGCTCCCAAGGACCCTCTGACATACTTGCAAGGCCAGCTGATTGCTCCATCTCTTGCTTAAGCTTCCCATCCAAGTTTATTACAGCTCCTTCAAAGACAGTAAACATTACATTCTATATTAGGCTGTCCTTGCCTTGAATTCATATACAGTTTAAATTCTTTAACTTGGGTGATTGTACCAACTCAGCACTAGTTTGAAGCACTGCTGCCACAAATGAGCTGGCAAGGCAGAGCCCCAGAGAGCACCCTCTGAGGCAGCCACTGCTCTTAGTGCAGGGGATGGTGTGGCCCCATGTCCTGCAGGCACAGCAAACAGTAAAACTTCAGAGGCAAAGGAGTTTCACAGAATAGCTGAGGCTGGACCTCTGGAGGTCATCTGGTCCCACCCCCTGCTCAAGCAGGGTCACCTAAAGAAGGCTGCTCGGGGCTGTGTCTGGATAGCTTTTGAATTTCTCCAAGGATGGAGACTGCACATCCTCTTCCAACATCAGTCCTGCTCACTTGAAAAACTCTTTCCTTATATTTGAATGGAACCTCCTGTGCTTCAGTGTGGGCTCTTTGTCTCTTGTCCTGTTCGTTGCTGAAGCTTTTGCAGTGATCTGATATCTCAGGCTGGCCTCTGAGCCGGCCTCTGTCACTGTAATCACCAGGCCTGTGCAGCTGTACTGTGCAGAATGCAAAG